AAGTGTTAATGCGCTGGTTCAATTTAGCTCTCGATCATTTCCGTCAGTTTCTCGGGGAGATGAGGTGTGGCGGTGGTCTATGGAGGCAGTCAAGCGCAGGGCGGAGGGGGGGGGCGAGTATCCTAGCGAGCAGAGTTCGCTTAGTAGTAGTCGAACTGTGGCGAGTCAGCGAACCACTCAATCACTCACTGAACCAGCCGACCATCCAGCTAGTGGACTGATGCAAAATCCAACACAGTGCTCGAGTGTGTTTGTGTGTGTGTGTGCACGCAAGTTCTACAATGACCACGCAATACCTTGTGCGAGACAAAAGTGTACATGTCTCATGCTTGGCCGAAGAACAGAGTGGTCGGTCGCCGCCGCCGCCGCTAACATCACGACCACGACCACCACCGTCGCGATCACGAATCTAGGGAGTATCTCCTTCTACCTTGAAGATGAAGTGGCGGATTGAGATCGGTGGGTGGGGTACGTAGAATGTGGATGTAATAATCCACAAAATGAAGGAGTTTCGTGTGTCGAGGAGGAGGCAAAGATTGTTCGAGAGAGAGATTGTTCATGCAAGAAAAAGATGGTGATGATGCTGACGAAGAGGAGGAGGAGGAGGAGAAGGACGAGGAGGACGGGGAGGTAAGATTCGGAAAACGTGTTCGAAATGCTTCTCAGCTCACCACAATCGCCGCACGGGTATGTGTGTGCGTGTGCCGGCTGGACACTGAGCGACATGGATCACTCACTTGAGAGGCGGAAGAGTTCGTGGAAAACAAGACTGCTCTCGTGTTAACTGTCAGTCATCGCGAATTATCTACACTCAATCGACTTGTTCCCTGAGAATTTCCGTTTTTTCCCCTCAATGGACTGATTGAATGGATGTTGTACGCGAGCGTGTGTGTGTATGCATACGATAAAAAGTTGGATAGATGAATGAATAGCGGGGGGCGGGGGTGAGAGGAATTAAATACGACGATGAAGGAGACAAATCCGTAGATAGATTAAAATAGTGGACGGGGTTTGAAACGATTTGCTTCGATGTGCATGCACTTCAACGATTTGAGTTAGATTGTTTCGGAACTGTTATCATTCTGATTAGGTTCGTCGAATCTATTAGATATGATGTGACACACAGGAATTCTGACGAAAACGAAGTTACTGTCGGGAAAATTTTGGTTTATTTGTCCAAAAGTATGTTCGCAGAGAAAATGGAGAAGCAGTTTTACCCCTAACTGATTATGTTGCTATCATGGTCTCCAGCTCATACCACATGTTGCTTCTGTCCTAAAAGCTCATGGTTGCACATTAATTAAACAGTTTTAAAACACTTTGTACTTCCTAACATGATTTTATACCCATCTTCAAACCGATTTGGTTTCTCTCCAGTTGTTGTAATTACATCCTTAGGAAAACCCATTGTGAGTGATATTCTTTGTGGTAGGAATTTTGTGTGAGAAATTTTCTAATTCTTTTTATTTATCCTACAAAAAATATAATATACCAAATTTTCTTCAAACTTGAGGCATATTTGTCTAACTAACTGGGCAGTTGGGACAGGAAAATCGTCATCAACAAGAATTTTTTGAGCACCTAAAGTGTTTTACCATCATTCTAGAGGGTGCAAGAAGGTAAACTTATTCACCGGTTTTCAGTGAAGCACAATCTATACGCTTCTCTCCCCTAAGTTGTGGATTTGTTTCTTCAAACCAAAGGATTGGATTGAAGTCCCTTGAGCCAACCTGCTAATTCCTGGTTGACAACGGTTTAATGCAAAACCAACATGAGCTTTGTATGTATCTATTCAAACATCTCAGATTTTTTCTCCATTCATACACGTGCATACATCCTTTCATACTCTGAACCAATCATGGTTATCGCTTCTCTCTTAGGTTCACTAAAGATAGTCTCTCGAGTTCATCGGATAATCTTGCAGAAACTGCACAAACAGGTCACTTCCGAACCCAAACCCCACTCCTTTCATAGACCAGCCTTATTCCTCAACACAAGCTTGTCAGCTCGTTGGGGTACTTTTGCATTTCAAGATCTGGAACAAATCAATCATATTTGGCACACGCGCGCTCGCGTACACATCTGAGAGCAAGCTATATCATACTAAACATGTATATGTTACCCCATTATGTTTTATTCTCTGTTACAATCAATTCATAATCACCAAGCTCTGGTCGAAAAAAGACACAAAGAAAGGAGAAGAAGCATTGTTCACACCATCCAAAGCAGATATTGAGAGCCAGTTGAAAACTTGCCGTTTTCGAGGTTAGTAGGTACCCGAAATTGGACCGGAAAATCACCACTAACACCAACAACACCGACACCATAAACACTAACATCACCACCACCAATTCCAACATCATCACCACCAGCACCAAAACCACCAGCACCAAAACCACCGCGAACAATAACAACCTCAAAAGCCACAACAACAACAAAT